AATTAAATTTAAATTAATTAAATTGTAAATTTCCACAGCAGTTTAATCGCATCTGCCTACCACAGGGTGTAGAGAACGATAATGTCTCCTTGTTCACAGTCCCATTTCATCTCGGTGTCGGTATTTATTGTGATGAGAATTAAGAACGCAACCGTTCTCTACTCTCAAGGGCAGTGTGTTTTCACGCCCCAGAATGTTGGCATATTCTTTTGCCGCCATGCAGCAGATTGCGTACAAATATGCGCACCTAGGCATTTCATTCGGAGAATATAATGTTTAGCGCTGGATGGTTACATTCAGCCGAAATGACACAGAAGGTTATGCGGAGCTAAGACTTATGTATCGTTTTTGAGGCACTCGCCAACCCCTCATTGCNTATGTATCGTTTTTGAGGCACTCGCCAACCCATCATTGCGCTGTGGTGCTGGCCGAGGTAATTGCTCTGCTGAACTGTTTACTCTCAAGAGCGCTGTGTGCATTTGATATTTCTGACGTTCTCGCGCACAGTTTTATCCGTGTTGGGTGCTATCAACGATGACCTGAATTTCGTGGTTTAACGACTAACAGCTAATACCGTCTATTTAATGTTTACTCACGGTCAGATGCGGGCTACGATAAATAACCGGCCCGAGACAGCGAGCTCATCCAGGAAACTTTTGATATATCGTCAGTGATGAAACTAATGTCTTCAGTTATTAGTGCCGGCTAAGCCCTCTTGGCGGGAGGAGGTGGTACGAATTGATTACCACGATAAGCAAACACTTAACTAAACTACGACTATCACTTGCAGCTGAAGCGGTAGCGATTTCAGTGTGTGTGCACAATTCCTTTGTACCGACCGCTAACCGTTGCCACCCCTGCGTAAATCTGAAGAACATGCAACTGTCACTACCCCTTCAACACGGCGTGTTTTGACACTACTGCTTTTGCCAACATCTGGTCTCCAAAACGTCTTCTAGATGCTTCACCTATCATCCCCGTTTGTTTGTCGCAGCCTTTGATCAGGTTAATTCTCGTGTGTTCCGCGCATTGCCTTACATGTTTCTGTCCCAAATTGATCTGACAAGACGTATTCATCGTGATGTCATGGATCATCCTCTAAGTAGAAAATATCTATGAAATTATATCTCAAACAATACGGCCATTTATAAAGAGGCATCCGCGTAGACAGAAGTCGTCAGCGTGGCTCAATTCACGATAGTACCAACATACTGTTCTTTCTCTGGTGGCGAAGGTGACGACTCAAGAATAAACATAAACCATGAAGTCATTGGTGCCGCACTCAGTTGCCACCATTTCAGGTCACCGAACATGTGTTTGAGAGATATTCCTTGGAAGAAGCTTTGTTGGAGGTACCCAGCAGTGCGTTATCCTGACCACCCCACGTTGCTAGTAACAAGTGTTTTTAAGTTTGCCATTCAACCGGATGTTCTGTTCGAACAGGCTGCAGTGGGAAATAGCGCTTTTTCTCTCGGTGCTTGTATTCTTATCACTGTCTTTATTATGCAGGTCTCTGGTAGTCGAAATTTACTCTGATCCCATTGTGAGCACAGCATTGATTATCCACGGCTTAACTCAAAACGTATTCCATTTCTGAAGCGTAGATTTGTTTCGAGAGTTCATTCTGAATTACTTCACTTGCATCTGTGACTGTCCTGAGAAGCAGCCCTTGAGCTTACTGGACTCGGAGTTGAGCATGCGCATGACGTAGTTTTCATTTTTCCGGTACTCATTGAGCTCGAATTAGTGCGGAGGTTTGACTCCAACTTTCACCTTTCACGTATCCTTACCTGGATTCGGGCAACCTGCGGGTCTATAGGTCGTATCACTTATATGACAATTACGGACCGAAAGGGTGTAACGGTTCAATGGTTTTCTGACGCCTGAATTGAAATATGCCACCAGTGTCGTTACCAGAGGCTGGAAATCAGGAGATCCCCAACCCAAAGACTGTTCGGCCTTTCTAATACATCAGCTTTTCAGATTGTTAATTGAGCACTTGGAGGTGTAGGGGCCCCTGAACGTTTGCGATACGTTACAGCCAGGTTCTTCTCTCACACATTCCCCCTTTCTTTCACCTTGGAGCTCTAATTACAATTAACTAAATTTTGGGGTTATGTGGCAGTGAAGCATCAGTGTCAACACTAATGTTTCTTTTTCTGGTTATGTTCTGTCATCGTCGTTAATGCAATTGTCTTAACGAATGTCAATCTTTTTACATAATTCAGGCTATATCAAGCGCCATTCAGTCAGATCCTGATGATGATACCCTATTAAAGGCTCTGGTGGATGTCGCGGACGCGGCGCACAAATATCTTCGTCCTTATCTGGCCGCCACCCTGGATATCTGCTACAAAGTAAGAATGTGGCTGGTTATTGTTGCGAAGATTCCTGATGTGTTTTCTGACTGGGTTTCTCAAGGCTTCTCTGTCGGTGATGACCAAACCAAACCAAACCTAAAACTGTTTGTTTTCTATCAGATTCTTCGAAACGAGGAACTTGCTGACCCACAACGCCATCTAGCACTGGAAGTAATCATTACTCTGGCTGAGAACATTCCTGCTGCGGTCCGAAAATCCTCCAACGTTGTGG